CAGTGAGCTGATACACCAGTGCATGTAGGAACTTCCTCAGTGATGAGCCACTGTCTGCCAAGAGCTTGCAGTCTAGGCCGTGAGAAGAGGAATCCACATAGACTTAGAAACAGTGAGCAAGCACACTGCTAGAAGCATGCAGGAGATACACTGGGACCTGGAGGGAACCCCTTCCCGGCCTAAGGAGAAAGTAAGGTAAGACTGAGGATCAGTCAGAGCTGTGGCCAGAAATGGGATGATAATGCTTTCTCTTTTTATGTTTGAAATCATTATCCTGTTGCCCGTGTTGATCTTCGGATCCTGTCAGTCTCAGTACACTGGTGTGTTCTTGGGTTTCTAGTGCGGTATGCCCTCACCTCAGTACCACTGTAGTGTTTGTCTGTTAAGTCAGATTAAGCGCTCTTCGGTGGAGGTCCCGTGGGTGTGGTAGTGTAAGCAGGTCATGGAAAGGCCTCCATACTAGAGAATGTGAACACTAACTTCCTGTTCTTGCCAGCAGATGGCGATCAGACATTTGAAAGACTTAGCTAGCTAAGACACCAGACTAGGTGATTTAAGACATGAAGTAGTGGGTTGGAGAGACCGCTCAGCGGTTAAGAGCACTGACTGCTCTTCCAGAGGTCCTGAGTTCAACTCCCAGCAACCACATGGTGGCTCACGACCACCTGTAACGGGCATCCGATGCCCTCTTCTGGTGTGTCTGAAGACAATAATAATATATAAAATCCTAAAACAAAAACAAAAAAAAAGACATGAAGTAATTATAAACTAATGCTGTAATTCATACATATTCCTTTGGCCTATCAATAATCAACAGTAGCTCAAGCATCGAAAGAGTCGCTGATAATCAGGCACGGTGGCACACCCTGTAATCTCTGCACTTGGAAATTTAAGGCAGGAGGAATGCAAGTTTGAGGACAGCTGACTTAAAAAGAATGAAGATTATGTATAACAAACATAGGACTCTTTTATCAAAGCTGGATATGATCCATCTATAAAGTCAAAATGGGTGTAGCAGATTAATGACTTCATATCGCTAAAGTGACAGAACATAGTTTTATATTTTAATGGTTTATTTATTTAGCTATTTTATGTGCATTGGTGTTTGCTTGTATATATGACTGTGTGGGAGTGTCAGGTTCCCTGGACCTGGAGTTACAGACAGCTGTGAGCTGCATGTGAGTACTGGGAATTGAACTCTGGTCCCCTGAAAGAACAGCCAGTGCTCTTAACCACAGAGCCATCTCTGCAGCCCCAGACAAAACATTTTTAAACCATAGACTGAGTAAAGATGTAGAAGTAATTTATTAACATTAATGGTGCTTCTGTGTAAAAAATCAAGATTTCATTCTACACATCCAGGAAAACATTAAGAGAAGTGATATAGTTGCTTGGGGAATGTCTATACTCTGCAGGTGACATCAAGGAAGACAGGTTTTGTCCTCCTTTCCCTTCAGCAGTTTGCAAACTCTCTGCATTGTTTGCCCTGTTGGGGGAAGACTGGCTTCTGTAGCTATTTCTCCCTCCTGTGACCTCAGTCACATAAGGATGTTGAATCAGACAGCCTCTGAAACCCGAGCCTTTATTTCCTTTAGTGCCTTCCTCTTAAGCTAAGTGATCATACGACTGAACTGGAAGTGATATTTCTCTTGCTTATAAGGTCAAATTTTTAAAAGCTAGCTTGAACAAATTAATACATGTTAAGGCGGGGTTATGGAGCGTTGGTATGATTGACATTGCCGTCTGGATCCTTAGAGACCAGGGACATCTGGCCTGTACTCAGCAACCTTTATGGCCTCTACTCACAAGAAGCTAATTAGTGCCCACTGCACCGCACTTTTTTTTTTTTTTTGGTTTGGTTTTTTGAGACAGGGTTTCTCTGTGTAGCCCTGGCTGTCCTGGAACTCACTCTGTAGACCAGGCTAGCCTCGAACTCTTGAACTCAGAAATCTGCCTGCCTCTGCCTCCCAAGTGCTGGGATTAAAGGCGTGCGCCTCCACCGCCCACCCACCCGGCAGTCCGCCACACTTTCAATAACAGAAAATGACTGCAGGCATCAGGTGTCATCCCTGGTGTGAAGCCAGCTTGAAACAGTGCACCCTGGAGGAATTCGTTGTCCCTTCCTATGAGAGCCAGGTTTGCTTATTTGTTAACTTACTCACTTTTGTTTGAATGAATAAGTGCACTGTGGGTTCCCCTACAATAGAATATCGTTAGGTAGAGAGAAGCAATGCAATGCAGCTTCGTCAACAATATAGATAGACTTTTCTTTTGGCTGTTTGAACAGTCTTCCACTGTATCCCAGGGTGACCCAAAATGCACTATGTAGTTCAGGCTGGCTTCACACCAGTGACAGACCTCTCGGCTGACTCTCTCTAGTGATGGGTCACAGGTGGTAGCCACCATGTCTGCAAAGCCTTTGAAGCTGGATTTCCAAGGTTGGTAACGCTGGTCTTTTTACTTGTGTTTTTTGTTGTTTCTTTTTCTTTTTTCTTTTTCTTTTTTCTTCTTTCTTTTTTTTTTGAGACAAGTTCTCAAGCTCACTGTGTAGCTCAGGCTAGCTTCAAACTCAACATCCTTTTGCCTCAGTCTCCCAAGTGCTGAGATTACAAGCATATGCCACCATGCTTAACTAAAGATGGTCCTTTAAGTCCAGTCACTTAGCTGGACTTGACGGTCACGGTACATCTGATTTCCATCCATGCTTTATGTTTGCACATTTATTTTAGTAAGTTGTTCCATTCCAGTTATGGATCATACTGACTCATAGCTGACACGCCCTGCATAGCCTAATGGTTTTGGACAAGAAGAGTTTTGTTGTTGTTATTTTGTTTTGTTTCTTTTGTCTTTTTCTCGTTTTCTTTCCTGCTTTCCCTTATTTTTCAGGCAATGACTTAAACAGGGTAGGACATTCTGAACAATAATCTAAGACTTCTAGAAAAATTGGTTCTGATCTCAGACTCTGCTTTTAGCAACTTCTGGGGTCTAGTGCAGGTCTCCTCTGCCTAAGGAATGCTTCCCTCTGTAAAATGCTAGGGAGTTTCCCAAACTCTGGTCACAAGAAGACTAAATGAAAGCTATCTTTGAAACGTTGTATAAAATGTAGGTTTCTGTCACATGGGATAGGCTGGGAAGTTTGGGAGGTTCCACTGCAGTCATGCTGAAAACAATTAGAGGTCATTCTTGAGGTTGAATCAACTTGAAAACGCAGTGATTACAGGAAATAATGTATGTCCGAGTATATGTTATTATGTTATTTTCTAAAAAATGTTTTATACTCTACAAGAAAAAGTAGAAATCAGTACACAGTGATCCCCTCTAGACGCATGTCCTCCCTCACACGGTATTGTCCTCCCTCACACGGTACTGTGCTCCTCACACGCCAGTTCACAACTTAGATCCCTCCCTACCACGGCTACATGACGGCTACTCTGAACCAGGAAGTTGTTTCAAAGCTTCTGTGTTTGCAGCCTTGAATTTAGAAAAGAATTAAAAATATGATACCCTGATTTCCATGTAATTCTAAAATGGAATGAAATTAGAAATTCTGCTTGTTAATTTGTTTGTTTTTCTTTAATTTACAGAATGCTCTTTCAGTTGCATTAGCAGAAATGAAAGTAAGTATATTGTCAATGATTGCACAAGCAGTCCAGAGAAGAAGACATTTTACAGACATAGTTAACAGTCAGGACTGATTGCCCATATCCTTAGCATTACACCTTCTAAGCCATCTGGAGAAGCAGGCACACAGGAATCTGCCAAGCCATTGCCTGTTCAAATCATTTATGTACTCTAGCAAGTCCTGTGTTCCAACTGCATATTTATAAACCAACACTCTAGTTAGATCACTAGAGAAAGATAACACCAATAATAGGGTCACTTTTGAGAAACCATACATGATACAGTCCTTGTTAAGGGCTGCTTTCAGTCCAGTCCACAGATATTTATTGAATACTTGCCTGGTGTGTTGCAAACACTTGTCTGTGGGGTACATGGCCAGAACACAAAGAAGTTGGAAATGGAGGAGAATATGAGGTACCACACTGATACAGGGAAGCAGTTTGCAGGATCTCATTGCAAGATTGCTTAGAAGAGACCTCATGGAGTTCGTAGGTTAATTGGGCCTACCAATTTATTTGTGGAAGGGGAATGAAAGAGAAGCCAACAAAGATGTGTACAGCGGAGAGTGAAGGAGCAGCATACTATCTGAAGGGTGTGTTGAGACCAACAGTTAGAAGTGGGAAAAGACAACCGAGGAACAAGCAGTTGGCTGGATTTGCTTGCTAATGTGGTGTATTGAAGAATAACACACAGTCTTGCACTTCTATTCTGTCAAACTGTGGCCTAGTTCAGAGTGTACCATATAGTCTTTGGCAGATAATCTTGGGTGCTCCCACACCAGCAAGGAAGCTAAGCCAATGGAGGAATCAAAAGACAGGCACTTGATCCTATTTCACTTCACGCACTGAAACTCCCAGAGCACCACCATTGCAGTGTACACTAATAAATGCAGCCAGAACCTCTGTGTGTGGCTGGAGATATAGCACAGAGGTAGAGTGTGTGTGTGCTTAGACACCTAAAGTCCTTGTCACCTCCAGCACCACACACAGCAGTACTGAAAAGCAGTTCCCCAAAATGAATGTATGTTCTTTGACAGTAGACATAAACTTGTGAGTAGTTATAAGTCAAAGCTAGTACACAGTAGGTATGGAAAAGTGTTCTGGCCCAGGAAACTGAGGTGTGTCCTATAAGGTCACACCCTTACTTGGTTAATTTACATGACTCATGACTCGTCATTAGTTCTTGAAGTCAATTTCAAGTTCATTGCTCTTTGGAATTCATGATGCCCTGTTTCTGGCTCCCCCGTAGCCATTTCTGATATCACGTAGGAATTCTTAGCTGCCCCCCTAGCTCCTTTAGCACCCGCTACACTTACACTTTTAGATGCTGGGAGGGTCTCCTGTCTCCATCATAATTCCCACACCCAGACCTCCAGCCACACATTTCCCTTTCCCACAGTAAATGACATCCGTCGTGCATTTTTTGGTGTGCTTGTTTGCCTCACTATATATGTAGCCCAGCCTGGTCTTGAACTCTTGACTCTGCCTGCCATGTGCTGGGGATTGCAAGTGTGCACCAGCACTCCTGGCCACTAGGGTTGTTGCTGTTGGGACTTGTTTCATTTTATTTTCATCTCATGGAGTTTGAGTGGCCATCGTTTGTGATCATTCTGCCTCCATCTGCCAAGTGCTGTGTGATGACAGACGTGTGCTACATGCCTGGCGTTGGTTATTTTACAAATACAAAAGCAGTCACTTACCTTCAAATGACTTTGCTTTGACTTGAGACAAATTGTATTAGTTATAAAATGAAGACTTCTACAGTGTAGGAAGATTCTTACAGATGTGCCTACTATGTAAAATTTTGAGATTTCATCTTCAAAGTACACATTTGTTAAATAACTAAGTTGCCTTGCTCTCTCTTGGTTTTTACAGATCCAAATAATAAGTTTAAGGCACTGTCATTGTGTTTTCTTTGGTTTGGCTTTGCTTTGTCTATAAATCTGCACAAGTGCAGCTGGAAGGAGGCCATTCCTGTTTTCTCAGCATGGGCACTTTGGACACTGGGGAGGCAGTGTTGGTAATGTGACAGTTTTAGGGGCTTTGTTTACATTAGCAGTCGTGACATGCATTAAACACCTGATTATGCTCCCAAATTGTCATTACAACCAGCAATGCTTGAATGTGCTTCTGCACACTTCGGGATTGTGGCACTACTCAGGTAGGGACGTAGTTAACTAGAGAGAGTGTTAAGTTGATGAGTGTGACTGTCATGTGTCAGTGAGCACTTGAATGGCCCCATGGCTGAAGTCCTGCTGAATCACGTGTTTATCATCTATGGCATGCTTTACTTCTCACACTCAAAGCTGTGCCATTGCTTACTGAGTTTACATTAACAAAAAGCTGTTTGTATTTCAGTGTTGTCTCTTTCTCCACAGTGGGCTCAGTATGCTGCAGTTATGCAGGGCATCACACCAACTGCCGAGAATTCTGTCAAGCCATTTTTCGAACAGACTCTTCTCCTGGGCCATCTCAGATCAAAGCAGTGGAAAATTATTGTGCCTCTATCAGTCCACAGTTGATACACTGTGTCAACAATTACACCCAGTCTTATCCAATGAGAAACCCAACTGATAGTAAGTAAAAGGGTTGTGTTCTTCTCAGTCTTTGATAAAATAATTCATTTACAAACTGATGCATTCATGTAGATGTCTGTGGTCCAGTTCACTTGAGAAACATCCAGATTTCTTTGATGTACATCAGGTTAATCCTTTTGACCAGGAAATTCCATGTTGCCATTTATACAAGAAAACTTAGACATTTACATATATGTATATGAGAAAAAAACATAGAAATGACCCAAAAATGCATTAGTAGGATATTGACTAAATTATATTTCTATGCAATAACCACACTTTACAACTAACAAAGGGGAGTACATTTATTCAGAAAGTCCAAGATGTACTAAGAAAAGCAAGTTTCAGAACTGAAAGCGTAGTCTGAGTTCTATTTAGCTGTTCTACACTATATATTTCTGTAATGCTGGAACTTTTATTAATGAGAAGTTCTTACTTTCATAAAAAATTATAAAAATAAGAGAGTAATATTTTTGAAAAATCAAGGTTGCCTAATGAATCTGTCCTTGCGGGATCTTGAGAGCACCTACTTTGTATATACTAGAATCCATTCCAATCACTGAGAAGCAGTCAGATTTTAAAGAGCTGACTGGTCAACCAGACTGACGAAAGGCTGACTTGTACGGCAGATGTTTGTGTTTATACTGGAATATTCTACAGCTTCTTTTATTATTCTTGAAAGTGGTGTGCATTGTGTGAGCATAATTGAAATCAGAATCTGAGGCTTTGACATCCTATGATGTGGTGGTGTGGCGAAAATCATACACCTGGCCTTCATTTATTTTGAAGCCGATCTGTGTTTCCTGACATTTAGGCTACACTGAAGTGTTGCCGCAGTAAGGGGATAGAAGCTCTAAGAAAACTAAAGCAGAAAGAGGTTTTAAGAGTAGAGCAATAAACTCCAGTGTCTGTCCTAACACAGGAACCTAGAAAAGAGGGCTTTAAATTGAGTATGCCTCTTCAAATGCAGGCACCTAAGAAAGCTACTTGAAAGAACCATTCCAAAGTCTATAGCCTGGCTGAACGTATTCTTTTGGTTTTTAGTTCTTTGTAGAAAATTAAAGGCTGGGTGAGTGGGGACATTCACAGGCAAATCGTGGCCCATTAGCATGTTTGATGCCCTGGTTCAATCCCTATCATCAAGAAAGAAAAGAAAATTAAAGGCAGAAATAAACGAAGATATTGTCAGAGTTCATATTATCTAAATTACAATGTATATTAATTAGCTTCTAAAAGAAAGTCTGTGGTGTCTTAGGGTATGATTAAATGGATGAGTTTAACCATGGAAATTAGTCATCGATCTTATGTAAGGAGTCCCCACTAGACACAAGCAGGGATTAAGCCCACTTTGATTTGCTGTATTCTTTCAAAAGCATAATAAAGTGTTTTATGTGAACTTCTTAGGTGTAAGATGACTTACAATTTATAAGGATAGTTCTAGAGTGCTCCTGACTGGGGACTGTGGTGGATTCTGGGAAGAGAAACATTGCAGAATGATGGAGAGAGTAGGTCCTGTTTACTGCAGAGACTTGCACAGAGGCTTGTTGTTTTCTCCCTTGCTGCCATGTTCTTTTCTTCTGAGCAATGTTATAAAATCAGCTAATAAAGGGCTTATGTCCTGAATGTAGGTTTATATTGCTGTGACAGAGCTGAAGACCATGCTTGCCAAAACGCCTGCAAGAGAATTCTAATGTCTAAGAAAACAGAAATGGAGATTGTTGATGGTCTCATTGAGGGTTGTAAGACCCAGCCCTTGCCTCAAGATCCTCTTTGGCAGTGTTTTCTCGAAAGCTCACAGTCGGTTCACCCCGGAGTCACTGTGCACCCTCCTCCCTCAACCGGCCTTGATGGGGCCAAATTGCACTGTTGCTCTAAAGCAAACACTTCAATCTGTAGGTTAGTATCTCATTTTCCTTTATCAAGATCAATAGAAAAAAGATTTTAATTGGTGACTTTTAACAAATGCCTTATTCTTGTATTGTGTAGGCTTAGCATTTGGAAGATAAAAAATCTGACACTGGGGAGTGTAGCTCAGTGGTAGACTGCTTAGCATGCACAGATTCGATTCTCAGTGCAAAAGGTAATAGAAGATATAAAATCTTTCACTTTTTAAAAATTTTTTAAAGAATATTATTTCTTTTATGCTTATGAGTGTCTGTCTATATTTGGGTGAATGGATGGTACCCCCAGAAGCCCAAGAAGGCATCAGATCCCCTGAAGTTGGAGTTACAGACAACTGTAAGTTGCCATGCACATGCTAGGAACCGAACCTGGGTCCTGCAAGAGTGGTAAGCACTCTTCCCCACTAAGCCATCTCACCAGCCCAAAGTCTTTAATTATTTTGTTCAGCAAATATTTACTGAAGACTGTTTAAGTACAATACAATATTTTAGGGCCAGCAAGGTCACTACTTAGCAGGTAAAGACGCCTGCCACCAGGCCTGGTTAATTAATTAAATGATCTAAGTATAATTCTTGGGATCCACATGGCAGACGAGAAAACATACTCCCTCAAGTTGTTCCCTTACTGCTATACATTGTGTGTGAGCGTGCATGTGCACACACACATAAATAAGGACAATTTAATTAAAATATATATATGAATATTTCCTTGCATGTATACATATGTACCACATGTATGCCTGGTGCCCACAGAAGTCAGAAGAGGTCATAGGATCCCATGGAACTTGAGTTCAGCCCTTTAAAATTTTGTTTTATAGATTGAGTGGTGTTATAAAAGATTAACTATTAAAAGGACAATAAATATTTAAAGATGATGTGATGTCATTAAGCTTACAGTATGCTGGGCCTGGAGAGATGGCTCGGTTAAGAGTACTTACTGTTCTTGCAGAAACCTGAGTTTGGTTTCCAGCAACCACACTGGGTGGCTCAAAATTACCTCTAACTCCAACTGTGGGTGACCTGATATTCTCTTCTGGCATCTTCAGGCCCTTTACTCACAAGTATGTGTACAAACATATACTTATACATGTAAATTATTATTTAGAAGAATATATTTTGATCTGATATTTAAGAGATAGTCTCTTTATTACATTATGAAACTTTGGTATGAGGAGTATAACTTAGTTGGTAGAATGCTTGCCTAGCATGCATAAAGCCCTCTAATGCTACATAAACTAGACATGGAGACACAAATCTATAATCCCAGCACTCAGGAGGGTCAGCTTCAGCCTCAGCTACATACAGAGTTCAAGGCCATCCTGAGCCACATGATACCCACTGCTGAAGGAAGGAATGAACTTTGGATTTAAACAGTCTTTTGTTATAACAACCTTAGTGATATAGGCATCTGTGTTAGCTGGAGAATTACTGTGAGTGTGTGGCGGAGTGGTGGTTCTCAAACAAAATAATCTGCCATAGACAAATGAAGGAAGATTTATTTCAGTTCACCATTTTAAATGTTTCAGTTCATAGTCCTCTGGCTCCACTGGCTTGTTCTAAGGAGAAGCAGAATATTCCAGTGGAGGGAGTGTGGTGGTCAGAGCTGCGCACCCAGTCACCTACTTCCTCCAGTCAGACTTTTCAGCTAAACTGAACCTCCTAAAGTTCCTGCCAACTCTCACAATAGGGTTGCCAGCCAGGGACCAATCCTTCTGCACATGAGCCTTTGAGGAGTTATTTCACATCCAAATCATAGCAGCATCAAGTGGGAATTATACCCAGAGATAAAAGTAATGCAAATGTTGACAGAGTAAACAATGTAGAGATGATACCTGAGATCATAATGAAAGTCACTTTCTGTTGCTGTGATAAGACACCATGACCAGGGCAACTTATGGAAGAATTAACTTATTTGGGGTTAGAGTCCATGACCATCATGGCAGGGAACGTGGGAGCAGGCAGACATGGTGCTAGAACAGTAGTTAAGAGTCATATCTTGAGACACAATCATGAAACAGACTTGGATGTGGGGCAGCACAAGTCCTTTGAAACCTCAAAGCCCCTCTCCCCAATGACATACCTTCTACAACAGGGCCACACCTTTCTAATCCTTCCCGAATAGTTCCACCAACTGAGGACCATGTATTCAAATACATGAGCCCATGGAGCCATTCTCATTCAGACCACAGCAAAGATGTAACAGAAGTTTGCCTTATTAGAGGTACTTTGCACAAAAAGGAGCCAAACATTACTAGGACATACTGAAGGAAAAATAAAAATATTTTATTCTCATAAAATTGGATGGACCATTACAAAAAGAAATTATGCCTAGGGTAATCCATCAAACTTTACTGAAGATACAAAAGAATCTAAACAAAGTCAATTGAAAGTCCTAATTGTAAGTAACCTGGCCCTATAGTTACAGAGATGGCTTCCATACAGAAGTTGATGAAGTTATTAGTGAGAGGGATGCTGAGGAGTGTTTCAGCGCTCACAGAAGTAAATTTCTGTTTGTGCTGAGTGGCTGGGGCTTGGGATGGCTCGTGTTGCTGTTTGTTTTGTTTTTGTTTTTTGAGACAACTCTTCTCTAAGTAGTCCTAGCTGTCCTGAAACTCACTGTTTAAACCAGGTTGGCCTCAAACTCTGCCTCTGCCTCCCAAGTGCTAGGATTAAAGGTGTCAGCTTGTTAAACACGGCCAGCTTAGTTTTGGTTTTAAAGAGTATTATTGTTGTTTCTTAACATTTAGGAGAGAGTCTGCTGTGGTGCATGTGGAAATTAAAGGACAACTTGAGAGCTGGTTCTCTGCTTCCACCATATGGGTCCCAGGGTGTGTTAGGTTGGCAGCAGGCCGCATTACCTGCTGAGCTACCTTAACAACTCAGGGTGTATGGTTTGCTGAATGCTTTCAATTTCGTTAGACTTGACATTTCTGAAACCTTATGAGATAATTGGGGAAATTTATATAATTTCTGTTTTAAATGTTAGAAACTAACTCTGAGATGTTGAATAATCTATTCAGGGCAAATATAGAAAGTTAACAGCTAGAGGAAATATTGACTTCTTGTTCCTCAAATGTGCATGTTCCTGTGAGAGCCAGGGTCTGGTCTGTTTAACGATGCTGCATCACCAGTGCCTTGAAGAAGCACGCACATAAAACAGTGTTCATGACTACTGGAAGAATAGACAGCCAGACTGCAGAGTAAAGATATTTTCTTTAGGTCAGTGTTTTACAGCACTGGCTGCTCTTCCAACCAACCCAGGTTCAACTCCCAGCAACCACAGAGCAGCTCACAACTGTCTGTAATTTCAGTTCCAATAAATCTGATGTCCTTCATTTGCACCTAACACACACAGTGCACAGACATACACGCAGGCAAACATTCACACATTAAGAAAACAAACCTTCTTCATAGGGGTATTTTTGATAGTCAAATAACTGTGAGAACAGTGGGAAATATTTACTTACAGTTTTGTATATTTCAATGATACCAAATTTTCATAGTGAACATGTATTACTTTTATTTTAAAAATTAAACTAATGAATTCAGTGTATAGAAGCACTTTGGAAATGTGACAGCAGAATTGCTATATCTGTAAAAACGTGTAAGGTGCTGTATAGTCACCAAATACTGAGCATCAGGGTGTTGTGATCACCTCCAGTAGTGTGGAGAGGTTGTGAGGGTAATGTAAGGAATGTAAGTGACTTAACAAATTTTATTCTGTAAACCTCACCCCACCCCCATCTTTCCTGGTTCCGGGGGACTGAACCCAGGTGTTAAGCACCCCAGGCACATAGTCTCACACAGAGTTGCTATTAAAATGCTTTAGTAAAGCAACTGCCTTCTATGATTAACATAATTAGAGGAGATTGTACCTTTGTGGAGGTAAAACCTTGTGTTTTACTTTAAATACATATTGAGAAAAGGAGGAAGTAAGAGAGCTATGGGAAAAAATTGTCAGAACTAAGGATGTACAAAACACCTTAATGGACTGGAAAATGTAGTATTCACCTTTCTATCAATCATAGCAAAGGGGTTGGGTGATTTTTCTTTAATTTTTGGAAATTTATTTACTGATTTATTTATTTATTATTGGGGTGGAGTGGGATGGGCATGCATGCCATGGAACATGTGTGGAGATCAGCAGAAACTGCACTTCATTCTTTGCTTCCACCATAATGTGGGTCCTGGGGGTCAGACTCAGGTCACCAGGCTTGCATGTAAGCTCCACACCCAATCAGCCATCTCTCAGTCCCACTCTGTCCTGTAAACGATATTTTTAATATATACATTGTATTGTATTTTTATTTTATTTGTACGAGTGTTGCCCTGCATGTATATCTGTGCACTTACATGCATGCCTGATGCCCTCAGAGGCCAGAGACATGCGTTGGGTCACCTGGAACTGGAGCTACAGACAGTTATGAACTGCTGCCATGTGGGTGCTGGGAACCAAATCTCGACCTCCGAAAGAGCTCTTAATTGATGAGCTGCCTCTCCAGACACCTGCAGATGGTTTTTAAAAGGCCATTTTTCATGGAGAAGATGACTTTGTGTGGCGCCAAAGCTTCCAGGAGCTAGTTAATTTGTACTTTTTTCTTTATGTTCCTAAAATAATTAATACAATTGCAGTTTTGCACAGATCAAATATTCATTGGTCTTTTCTCTAATGTTCTGCATTTATTCTTTTGTTTCAGGGAACTGTGCACGAAACTTTATAGCATGAGCTGGGGAAATACACAGAGTTGGTAAGAGTTTGACCGCATCTGTGAATATAATCCGGTGGAAGTGTCCATGTTGACATGTCTAGCTGATGTCCGGGAACCTTGCCAGTTGGGCTGTACAAACCTTACTTACTGTACAAACTTTAACAACAGGTACGAAAATTATTAATCATGAAAATAGAAATGCAGTATTATTAACTTGTTTTAAATAAATACCACTTCCTGATGTGCCTTCTAGAGTAAAAGAAAGTTTTTCTTTATGATTTTATCCCGACACACTCTGTCCCTTCTACATGGCCCCTGGAAAGGAAGTATGATTGCAAAGTCTCTTCTGATCAGGAGCTGCCTCAAGCTTCAGGAACTCAGAGAATATTCTGTACCTTCAGTCACTCTCCCTTCTGCACCAGTGGTTCACTGGTTTACTGGAAATGGTGGAGATCTCCAGGGTTGTGTTCTGAATGCCTATACTGGCTGGTTTTGTGTGTCAACTTGGGACATGCTGGAGTTATCACAGAGAAAGGATCTTCCCTTGAGGAAAGGCCTCCATGACATCTAGCTTTAAGGCATTTTCTCAATTAGTGATCAAGGGTGGGAGGGCCTATTGTGGATGGTGCCATCCCTGAGATGATAGTCCTGGGTTCTATAAGAAAGCAAGCAGAGAAAGCCAGGGAAAGCAAGCCAGTAAGCAACATCCCTCCATGGCCTCTGCATCAGCTCCTGCCTCCAGGTTCCTGCCCTGTGTGAATTCCAGTCCTGGCTTCCTTTGGTGATGAACAGCAGTGAGGAAGTGTAAGCTTAATAAACCCTTTCCTCCCCAACTTGGTTCTTGGTCATGATGTTTTGTTCAGGAATAGAAACCCTGACTAAGACAGTGCCCCTTTCTGTTTTCTTCAGCTGCTAACTGATATGTTTCGGGCTCAGATCTTGGCCCCTTCTTTTTCTTACTAACCTGATACCTCAGGATACTCTGATTTGAATTGTTCAGTAAAGAAATATCCTTGAATTTTAGGCAGATGATTCCACCAGCCTGGTCTACACAGTGAGTTCCAGAACAGATAGAACTGCATAGTGAGACCATGTCTTGAAAAAAAAAGATAATTATTCCAGTTAATAAGTACTTTGCATATGTGAAATTGCTAAGAATAGATTTGATGTGTTTACCACAAAAACAGGGTAAAGTATTTGTACTAATATGTATTAGTTAGTTTGATTTAGCCATTCCACCATATATACATATTTGAAAACATGTTGAATGCCATAGAGTTAGCAGTTGAAGGTGCTTTTTTTTAAAAGAATATACATGAAGAGTTTTGGTAGTATTAGTCCTGGCAAGTGTGAATTAAAACTTCTCTGACTTCTTCCTCAGACCCATTGGTATAGCTAGATTAAAAGCCCGGCATGCATTTGAAGTGTCTTGGCTTCTCACTCTTTCCTGCTAGGAAGTGTTTATTTACCCAGGAGACACGAAAGCATGTGTCCAAGAAAGTACCCATGTGCCAGCATTATTTGTCATCTCCCATTTTAGGAGAGGACCTAAAAACATCCATCAGGAGAATGAGGAAAAACAACATAACATACCATGCTGATCCAAACAGTGGAGGAATATACAGAAAAAAGGCAAACTCCTAAGATACCCAAGTATGAATGGGCTCACATTCAGCCACAGAAGCCCAGTGTTCTCTGTGCTTCCAGGGGCATGAGGTTCCATCTTGCATGATATAAGCAAGAGTAATCTGAGGATAAGCACCCAGAAACCAGGGACATCAGGGAACTGCAGAGTGATGGAAATGTTCTAGATCATGTACAGGGTTTGCATTTTGTTTTGGGGGTGGTTTTGCTGTGAAGCTCTGGCTGTTCTGGAGTTCTCTGTGTGGTCTCAAACTCACAGAAATCCTCCTGTCTCTGCCTCCTGAATGCTGGGATTTGAGGCATGTATCACCTCCGCACCCAGCATGTGTAAAGGTATTAATTACATAGCTGGATACTGTCTTCAGAGTGTTGGACTAAATTCTCAATGTGTACATTATAATGTATGTAGTTAAACTCCAGTAAATCTTTTTTTTTTGATTTGAGACAAGGTCTCATGTAGTCCATGCTGGCCTCAAACTAGCTATCTATCTGAGTCTGTCCTTGAACTCCTCATTCTCTTGCCTCTACCTCCCAAGTACAGGCTTTACACTATCATGTCTGGCTTTAGAGTAGTGATTTATATAAACTTAGTTATTTTTTTCCTCATCAAAAGATACTACCAGACAGTAAAAGGATAAACCATAACCTAGCAGAAAATATCTATACTACATATATCTGACAAAGGAAACATCTGTAATGCATGAAGAACCCTTACAACTCCTCAGTAATCAAAGTTTCAACATTTTTTAAGATTTATTTTATGTGTATGAATATTTTGATTGTGTGTATCTGAGTGCTACATACATGTAGTGCTCTCAGAGGCCAGAAGAGGGAGTCAGATCCCCTGAACCTGAAGTTACAGATGGCTTTGAGCTACCTGTTGCATGCTGGAAACTGAACCTGGGATCTCTGTGAGATCAGCCAATTCTCATAACCACTGAGAGCTATCACTCCAGCCCCTCAACTTTTAAAAAAGGAACAGAAAGGAACATTTCACAAAAGATAACATTTATTAATAGATAATATCTAGCAATAAAAAATGACAGAAGCCATCTAGGAAAGGCTATGGCAAGCAAGTGAGTTTCTGGACCCAACGTATAGCATGGTTGCAATGGTTGTACTCCAGAGAGGCATAGCCTCAGAGACTTCCTTCCAGGATTGCTTCTCACAGCTGATATGCCTTTTCTGCCACTAATATATAGCCTAATGATTCCTGATCCAAGGGTGAAGATACAGGTGTGCAGTATAATAAAGCAAGGCCATGTGGAACTGTTGCTTTGAACTTATAATGAGCTTATGGGCTGAAACACTGCTTTGAACTTACTATCAACATCCTTCTGTGACTCCCCTTTTATGTAACATTCTATCTATAAAGTAATTTTATAAAGAATTTCTGTCTAAGAAGGCATAAAAAAGCTGAGAGAAAATATAAAGTGTGGCTGTTGGACTCTATTGCATCCACCAAATAAATAAATACATGTCTATGTATATGTACATGCATACATATGTGGAGATATATATATATACACATATATATGCATATACATGTACATATATACATATATACATATATATATGCATATGCACTTGTGAAATTGATGAATTTATGAAACAGGTGGCAGGTGGTCAGGACCAGTCAGTGTGTGTGTGTGTGTGTGTGTGTGTGTGTGTGTGTGTGTGTGTGTACGTACTTGATTTTCTTTCTTTCCTTTCCTTTTCCTTTTTCTTTCCTCTGTGAAATTACCACAAGTCATCAGCTTTGACTCTAGAACAGTAAGAGGTAAATTACCAGAAGCTGTCAGCTTCTGGTCCTCAGAACAGTACAAGAGAGTTACAAGGCCAGAGGTCATCAGACTTTGGCCTTCATTTGTCACTGTGTCCCACCTCAGTTCCTGACCCTGACATGGCTGGCTCCCAGCAAAAAAGGATAAAATGCTTGCATACAGAACAACATGGGTAAATATCAAAAAGATTATGTTTTAGTGACTATGCCAGGCCCCCAAAATAGAGAATGATTTTATTTATATGACATTCTAGAACAGTCTAAAATAGGTATGATGCACTGTGTATGAAGACTGTAGATCATATGGTGATTCGACGGCACAAGGTACCGTTTGGTGTGATGACAATATTCATTATTGATTTACGTGCCTTTCTAAGAGCTAAGCACGTGTCAGGTCACATCCAACTCATATTCTGTACATTTGGGTTTAGTTATACCTCAGTTTTGTTTGCTTGCCTTTTTGTTTGTTTGGTTGGTTGATTTTGGTTTTCAAGACAGGGTTTCTTTGTGTAACCATGGCTGTCCTGGAACCAACTCTGTAAACCGAGATGACCTCAGAGATCCATTCCCCATCCCCCTTCCTCCACCCCCCACCCCCCAGTTCAGAGATCAAAGGCATGTACCACTACCACCCAGTTATACCTCTGTTCTATAAACAGAGACTCATTTATTTTATGAAATAAAGTGAAATGGCCTGGGGATGTTAGTCCTGTCCGAAGCACCTTGAAGTTTTAACCTGCTTCATAAGAACCTGTTAAATTAAAACATGCAGTCAGTGTTCTGATGTCAGTGCCACATTGTCTTCAACCGCCTGAAGCTGGAAGTCTATGGCGGGTCTTATGCACTCTCTCTTTAAGAAAATGAGATTTTTCTGATGTGTGGATGAATCAAGAGTTTACTCATTGTCTCTATCCAGGGAATAATTTGTCTCCATTCCTTCTGGCTCTTTTTGAAGGCCAACAGAACTGTTCAGGAGCTGTACTGCTCAGTCTGACCAGGGGGCCATGAGTGACATGAAGCTGTGGGAGAAGGGAAGCATAAAGATGCCCTTCATCAGCATCCCTGTCCTCGATATTAAAACCTGCCAGCCAGAGATGTGGAAAGCAGTTGCATGCTCCCTGCAGATTAAGCCTTGCCATAGCAAATCCCGAGGAAGTATTATCTGCAAGTAAGTCATTCCAGTCCTGGGGAGTCCCTCCCTGATCTCTATCTCAGCCTCTCTTTAGAACTGTCTGCCCTTCGTATGTGCCCCTCCCCCACGCAGTGCTTTCACACTTTCTCCTCTTCTGCTTGAAGGATGCTCCCCATCTTCTC